ATATGATGCTTTTGTTCAAAACAATGTTAAATCTTTGGGTAAATGTAAAATTAGAATAAGAGACATACTTTTTGAAGATTTATTTATTTGAAAGGCAAAGTTAGAGGGAGAAACAGATCCATCTTCCATTTTCTGGATTCTTCCCTATGTGGAACCTGGAGCTCCATCCAGGTCTTCAGGGTGGGTGGCAAGCCCAGCACTTGGGCCATCCTTTGCTGCTCTAACAGGTCATTAGATCAGAGCTGGATCAAAACTGGAGCAGCTGGGACTTGAACAGACACTCATTTGGGATGTTGGCAAACACAGGTGATAGCTTAACCTGCACAATGTAGGCGCCAAGAGACATCATTAATGTTTATCTGAGTATTCATATTTGATACTTCTCAGCAGTCATTATTGCTCCACTTGGATTTGCTGTTACATCTGGAGTTAGTATTTCTTTTAAGATTTCTTGCAATTCTACTGACATTGAATTCTCTCAATTTCTAAGAGAGTCTTGCATCACTGACAGATTTTTTTGTTTCTTTGTTATTTCATCTGTGGAAGACTTCTGAGATAATCATACACTGGTTTTTTTGGTTTGGAATATTTTACACGTAGTTTGTGCTTAATTCTTTGTTTTTCCGTATGTATCCCTTTTTGACAGATTTTTCAGAGAATTGATTGTACTCTGCTTGGCATTTTCTTTGTGTTTAGTCCACTACTTTGAACTTTTTGAGTTTGGATCTATGGGCTTATAGTTTCAGGAAATTTCAGAAGTTGTTTCTTCAGTTTTTTTTTTTTTTCACCTTGACCAATGCTTTTCCCTCAGTGTTTCTGTTTCCAATGTTTTTCATTTAGTACGTGTTTTGTCTTCCTATTTCCTGGGATGTCTGATCTTTTTTATCTGATACTGGACACCATGTGCTATGTGTTTCAAGGTCTAAATTTTCTCTCTCTTGCCTTTCTAAGAATGTAAATTAGTTGTAAATTGGCTTGAGTTTTTGAGGCTTGTTTTTAAGTACTGCTGGGTAGAACTATATCGGCCCTAATTTGTTATTTATTCTTTTGTGCTACCATCTAATCAGGAAGCTTCTTTGGTCTGTTCGGAATGCCTCTCAGTTTCTAGAAGGCCTTGCCTATGAAGTTGACCTCAACTTGAATACCTCTACAGCCCGAGTGAGCGGCAAGAATAACCTGGCATACAATTTGTGTTTGGTAGAATTCGACGATGACACCCATAGGCACTTATCTTTGTTTGAATCTTGAATATTGGGCTGTTGAGTAACCTCTGGAGATTATCACTCCTGTGACTGTATTACCTTAGATGGCAAAAGGAAGAAAACCCAAGGTGCACTTGATTTCTCCCAGAGAACTCATTAAAAAAAAAAAAAAGAAAAAACTTTCCAGCTGTGTGTTGAGGAACAAGTTTAACATCTGGAAAAGTTGACTCAGTCCAGATGTGTAGTTGCTTATAATGAGAAAGAAGGTCTGCTACCAGTTTCTGTATCATGGAGTGTGTATTTGTCTTTGGAAGGTGTAGCAGCAGCAGAAAGTAGAATTTTTCTTTAGACTCATCCATTGCCAGGTTTCCTAGTTTTCTAGCCTACATTAAAAAATAAAATTTGGGGCAAGCTCAGTGGCACTGTGGGCTGATCCTGCATCTTTGGCACTGGCATCCCATGTGGGCACCAGTTCGTGTCCTGGTTGCTCAACTTCTGATCTAGTTCTCTATTCATGACTGGGAAACCATCAAAATATGACGTAAGTCTTTGGGCTCTTGTACTCAGGTGAGAGTCGTGGAGTAGGCTTCTGGCTCCTGGCTTTGGTATGGCTCAGCTCTCGTTACAGCCATTTGAGGAGAGTACCAGTAAATGGAGTATCTCTCTCTCTCTCTCTTTCTGTCTCTTTCTCTCTGTGGATCTTTTGAATAAAAATAAATGATTCTTGAAAAATAAAATCCCAGAAGTTCGTGCTGTGGCATAATGGGTTTAGTTGTCATCTTCAGTGTCACCACACCTTATGAGTTTTGCTTCACTTCCTATTTAGCTCCTTACTAATGCATCTGAGAAAGCAGCAGAAAATGGCCCAAGTGCTAGATCCCCTTCACCCACCTGGGAGACCCAGAAGTTGCAGGCCATACACAGTTATCAGCTTGAAAAGTAGTCTGATACAGATGTACTGGATTTCGAATCTGACTTGTAACTGCCTTAGCCAAGCCAAATCAGCTGATTTTGAGGGTCTGGGTTGGCTCATGGACCAGACATTCCATACACCTGTAAGAGTTCTTGAGTTCCGTGTTCCTTCCTATGCACTTTTTGATATTTTTCCCTCACATACACCTAGCTACATTCTGAGGTTTATCTTTACCTTCAAATATATTTTACTGATATAAAAATATAGTATCTTTCTCTTTTCATTATTTTAATATTTTGCTGTAACAAATAAAAGTTGATGATGTGTTTGGAATTTCATTGTGTCGGTACTGTACAGTTTATATGTCCAGTCGATTGTTAAGAAGCATACAGATTAGTCTGGACATTTTGAAACAGCTAAGGCTGAAATTAACTTTTAGTAATTGTGAGTAGTGCTCATGTATGAGAATTTCTGTGGAGAATACCGCTCATAACTAGGTCTTCCACCAAATGAAGTGGTAAGTCTAGATATTGTGAATTGTTCTTTAAAAGTAGTTGTTGCAATTGCTGGCACAGTGCCATGATGAAACCAGGAGCCATGAGAATCTAGGTCTTCCACACAGGTGGCCAGAACCCCAGTGTCTTGGCCATCCTCTGATGCTTTCCCAGACCATTGACTGGAACTGAATCAGAAGTAGAATTGACAGGCCATGAACATGCACCCATGCCAGCGTTGTAGGCAGCAGCTGCTGCACAGTACTGGCCCCTTTATTTGATACCTTTTTATCACTTTTTAATTGTAGGTAATTGTTCTGGAGAGAAATGTGATGTGTAGGTCCCCTTTTAGTGTGTTTTTAGTATTCTTAATGATATGGAGACTATTATTCCTCAGTTCACTCTGATATTTCAGTCTCCAGTAGGGCTAGATACAATAGGGCTAGATTTAGAAACCTGAAATCCTACAATGTGATTTAGAAATTGTCCTAAATGTGAAATTATTATTTGAGTATTTCAAGTTATTCCTAGTTATCAAAACATGATACATGTTAATATTTCTGTTTTGTCATCAACAGTTGTGGCATCCCAGCTTTTCCTGTTCAGCTTTCTTTGGCTGTGTAAAGAATGACTGTAGTGGTCAGCACCATGGCTCTATGAACTAATCCTCACCCTGCAAGCTCCAGAATCTCATATGGGTGCTGGTCCATGTCCCAGTTCCTCCACCTCTTATCCAGTTTCCTGCTTGTGGCCTGGGAAAGCAATGAAGAATGGCCCAAGTTCCTGGGACCCTGAACCCACATGGGAAGATCCAGAGGAAGTGCCTGGCTCCTGGCTTCAGATTGGCTCAGCTCTGGTCGTTGTAGCTGTTTGCAAAGTTTATCAGTGGATGGAGGATTTTTCTCTTTGTGTCTCCTTCTATCTGCAGAAAACCTACCTTTCCAATAAAAAAAATTTCTAATAATGATACTAAATCTTAGGTCATTGAAACTGGGTTATAAGGAAAACTAATATAATTCTCTGGCTAATATTAATAATGACAGGATTAAGTGAGCTCCAGAAAGTATAGATGAGCAAGTGAGGTGTTCTAGTGCTGTGCTATGGAATGGAATCTGGTACATTTAGGATCCTCTTCCTTTTGTTCTGTACCTACGTGAGAAACTCCGTCACAGAGCTTTTACTGACTTTCCACTGCCAATGTGGAAATCTACCAAAAATTAACTTGTTCTGTTTTCTGCAGAGGTAATGAGTGGAGTTAAATCCTATGTAAATATTTCATCTTCTGAATTATTTCCAGTTAAAGCAACCATAAAATTCCTCTTAAGTCCATTGTTGGTGCCAAATGAATATAGCTTTAAGTCCAGGGAATATTATAGTTGACTATTTCAGAAAGTTTGTGGAAAAAATGACATTAAAAGTAAGTTTATTTTGGTACAAAGATGTTTGGAAATCCTTGCATAGTTTATACATAATATTCACTTTTGTGACATTTTTGAAGGTCCTTTTATGCAGGGGTTTCAAGTAGCTTTTTTTTTTTTACACCAAAATAAACTGATTTTGGTTCTATTTTCCCATGAGCTTTTTGATGTACCCTCATAATTTCTGCCCTTTCCATATCTGAATGGCCATGTGCCTGGCTATGTTACAGGATGCTGCCTGCCTCTCCTCACAGCTCTAAATTTTTAGTAGTTTTACCCGTGTTTTAGGAATTTTACAAATTGTTGCTTTCTGATGTTTCAGCATTTTTTACATTGTGATCCTCAAAGGAAAGCAGAATTGATGTAAGTGATTCAATTTGGAATTGATTTGGGACTGTCCAACTGCCATCCTTTTCTGAAACGTAAGGTAGACATCTATATTTGCTTTGGAGCAATTTTATTTCACAAATAATGAAACTTGGGGAAGAGGCCTTTTAAGTTTGATAATAGAGAATTGCTCAGTAGCAGGATTCTGCTTATTGTATTTAGTTGAATTTTTTTTTATTCCAGTAGCTTTTTCTGTAACTTTCTTATGAGGAAAACATGTCTAAATCTAAGAGATGAGAGATTAAATTCTCTCACTTATTCACTTGTGAGATGTTTGTTAAACCTCAGTAGTTAATACAGTCCTTATTAATATAATAATGTGGTGCTTTAACATAATGGATATGCCAGTGTGGTCATTGATACTGGGTGAATGTTTTGCACTTATCCTGAGGTGATTGAAAATGGAAGTGTGTATTTAAGATGAATTTTCTCACCTGTGACAGCAAGTTGTAAATATCCTTGGATTTTCTGTTGGTATAAGCTGTTCTGTTAATGTGCATTATGGCACCTCGTTCAGGTATGCAGCCCCTGCTTGTGGCCTTCTAGAGAGCTTGCTGGATGGGTCTAATTCCTTTTCTCCCCACAGGTCATCCAGGCTGTCTTCTTCGGCATCTGTGTGCTGACGGATCTGTCCAGTCTTCTGACCAGGGGCAGTGGGAGCCAGGAGCAAGAAAGGCAGCTCAAGAAACTCATCTCTCTCCGTGACTGGATGCTGGCGGTCGTGGCCTTTCCTGTGGGGGTTGTGAGTATAATGACCTTGAATACATTCTTCCACAAAAGGAACTTGGGTTTTCCTTCAGACTTCCAAGAGAAAACCAGGGCTCTTTACTGATTGTGTTGGTAAGGCTGCCATAAGCAAAAGCCCACTGGGTGGGAGATGTAAATAGTGGAGCATGGAAGTCATTCAGGCTGGAAGTCCAGCATCAACGTGTTGGCAGGCTCTGTTCATCTGAGGTTCCATCTCTCTCTTTGGCTTAGAAATGGGGTCTTCTCACTGCACCTCCACATTTTCTTCCCTCTGTGCCTGGCTTTGCCCTAATTTTTTCTTTATAAGGACAACAAGCGTAGTGGGTTAGACCATTGGGTTCCTCTTCACCCAATGGTCTCATTTAAACTTAATTGTCTCTTTATAGGCTCTTTATCCAAATATAGTCACACTCTGGGGTTCAGCGGATTAAAACTGCATGAATTTTGCAGGGTGCATAGTTCAGCCCATAGCTATTTCCTAAGTAGCTCAGACTTGAGGAGTATGGTCCTTGGTTGAACATTCTAGTGTTCTTGAACTTGGGAGAGGAAATTAGCATTAGCTCATACTTCTTTACTTACTCAATTGTGCCATTAGCTAATGTCACTTAAGTAATTGCTGCTTAATGTTTGGGCTTATTCTGGTTTTATTGATTTTCATTGTTTTAGGTTAGATTTCCCTCCATAGCTCAACTTCCTTCATGAGTCTCTTGATTTTCCATTGTCTGCATGTGAACCAGATTCTTTAAGGGGCCCCCTGAGACTATATAGATTTTTATCTGTGTACAGCCAGGAAAAGGATAAGAAAATTCTTCTATGTCTCAAATCATGAGGATAAGTCAGAATGTATTTTAGAATTCAAAATTAGGTGTTTCATTTATCCCCCGATTTCTGAGAAATGGAAAAACACAGTGATGAGATGATATGGGCTTGCATGTATACCAGTCCCAACACCCATGGTGAGAAGAGTCAGAAAGTCATTCTCTTACTCTCTCTAATGGAATTCACTTATATTTTCTATGTTGGTAACTGGCAGGGGCCTTCTTAAAGACTACTTATTAAAGGCTTAAAGACTTACCAGTTAATACACAGTCACATGGTCACTCCATTACCCTTTTTAATGTGTTGAACTGTATTTTCTTGGGTAAAGTTGCCCTTAGCCCTTGAGAAGAATACACTGGTAGGGGAGAATTGTCAGCTGGTGGTGTTCCTCTTCACATGGCTTCATTCTTGTCTTGAAAAACAAAACAGATGTGTGCTAAGGCTGAAACTATCTAGCAAATTCTATATTTCAAATAGCAGAGACTATTGATTTGTAAACTAGTTAACACTTTGTTTGAACTTGCTTGATAAAAATCAAATGCTTGTCATCACAATAGTCATGTGAGAAAAAAAAATACCTGTGGTGTAGGTGTAATGGTATATTTTCTTTTTTAAATTATTATTTAATCAAAAGTCAGAGAATCAGAGAGATCAGGGAGAGAAAGAAAGAGACAGAGACACACAAAGAGAGGTCTTCCATTCACTGGTCACTTTAAATGGTTTAGGCCAAAGCCAGGATGTAAAAATTTCATCTGTCTCAATGAACAGTGGAAGCCCAAGAACTTGAGCCGTCTTTCATAGCCCTCCTAGTCGCATTAACAGGGAGCTGGATTAGAAGCAGAGTGACTCAGACTTCCATTTGGGATACCAGAGTTGCAAATGGTGAATTAACCTCCTGTACACCGATGCTGGCTCCCTGACATACTTTTTGTATCAGAGAATTATCTAGAGATCACAAGTTGGGGTGTATGTATATGAATGTGCTATCAGACTGTGCCTCTACAAGAAAACTGTCTTCCACACTGTGAGTCTTGCAGCTCTCTTCAAAGCCTTATTAAATGCTGTGGACACTTCATTTAGGGGAAACTTTTGTACCTTTTTATGCTCAAGACTTGAGGTATTGGCCAGCTCTCAGTACCCTTTATGCATTTAGCCTACCTGTATTTTTCATGATTTGCAAAGTAAGTGGTGACTTGGTGGGGGTGGGGGAGCGCTAGTCTCACTAAGTCTGAGTTTTGTTCATGTTCCACTGGTTGGTATGTCTGTGTCTTAGAATAAGATAGAGGAATCGTTACCTTCTTGCGTCTCCCAGTTTTAACCAGGAGCCAGGTATCCAGGACAGGTGTGAATGTCTTTCGTCACAGCAAGGTTGGTGATGGTGGCATCGCTGCCTAGGGTTTGCTGTGTGGCCTGGCTCACCAGAGGGCAACAGGGCTCTTTAAATTCATAGAAGAAATGAAAGAATAGTCAGAGTTGAATCACAGATGTTCAACTTTGCTGATTTCTTTATCCACAGATGCTTCATAGTCACTATTGCCATTTTTCACGCTCTTTCAAGATATGTGAGTCACTTTCCCTTTTGTAGGCACTTCTCCCATTATTTTTTTCTGAACTTTGAGCAGTTCTTCTGCCATAGTTCTTCCTGCTTCTCTATATCTCTCTCTCTATTAAAAAGAACCCTGATCCATATTCTCCAGACATTTTGCATTTTCATTTACCTGTGTCTGTCTTACTCTGTCATTTTATTTTGTGTATCTGTTTCCCTAATTTTCATCACATTTCTCACTGTAATACACAGAAATTCATTTTGAGTCAAAAAGCAGCAACCAATCTCAACAAGTAGCTGCTTTGAAAATCCTTTTATTTTTATTGTTAATTCGTGTTTTAGAAGATGTGAATGTGGACCTTAATAAGGATTTTGTTTTTTAGATGAAAATGTAATTTTATGACTGTCACTTTGCCTTCTCTGAGGTTGTCTCAGCTTTCCTTTCTGTTGAGCCTGTGTCTTTACTGTGGCTTGAAAGGTGTCCGCCTGCTCCCGTGTTCCTTTCTTTCTCTGTGTCCCTCTACTGCTCAGAAACATGTAGAATCCCACTGTACGCTAGTCAGTGACTTAAGACCTCCTTCCTTATTAAGATGCATCATTTGTGTGATTCTTGTTTCTCCTGGCCAAAAAGGAAAGTGCTTGGGCTGAGGGGCTGATACCCAGGGCCAGATGGGGGCCCAGTTATGAGGTCTGTGGTCATCTGTTGTATGAGACTGCTTATCATGTGTGCAGGTGACTAATAGTAAAATGTGTGAGTCAGCAGCTTACTATTTCAGCTCATGTTGTCAATCCAGTAGGACCAAACACCCAGTTCCCTTCCCTGGGCCAGTGGGATATTGAGTGTGGCTCAAGCATCCCAAGCTCCGAGCACCTGTGGCCCCAGGGACCTCCCCTCCTCCTCCATGTGACTGCCAGCCTCATGAAGCGTGGCCCTGCTGCTCTCTCTCTGCCTGTTTTTTCCTCCTTACACTTTTTGTCCGTCCATCAGAAGTTTACTGGCAAAGCAGAGTTATTTTTGCTTCCACAATGCAGGGCAAAAAGGCTATGGTCTTAGAAAGAGGGCAGAATGTGGTGGTTGAATTTATCACCGCTGCTCAAGGTTTTTTGAAGAACCCCTTCACCAGGAGCAATTTTGCCTGGCGCTCCTGTTATCTGTCTCACCTCAATTACAAGCAAGACAGCAAAGAAAGACACAGGCAGGTTATCTAGGTTTTGTGTGTTGTACACTGAAGCTTCCTCCAGTAATGAGGTTAATTGAGAGTTGACAGTAATTGCTTTATGTGAGCTTGAAGTACTAAATATGATTCTGTGACCTGCAGACCTGATGCATCTACTTCCTGGGCTCTCTTTTGTTTCATGGATGTATAAAAATAATGAAACAATCAAAGCGAAGATAACTGGGGTCAGTTTTCGTCTCTGTATAACCTTGAAGAAATCAGGCAGGGTTGCTTGAGTGAGCAGTGCATGTATCATCCTGATTCCTGTAGATTCCCATAAATGCAAAGCTGGCCTTGATTACTCATGCTAATGGCCGGAAACCACCGCCACTCCCAATGCCTTGCAGCTCATTTTGCAGGGATCACCCAGGGGAGGTTCTTCTTACCATGTGTAGTTGATTTCTGAACCTTGTCACCCTTTTAAAGAAGCATTACAAATAATTCCATGACAGTATGTGGTCTGAAAGCACTGAAATATATTAGGAGCAATCATACTAAGAATGTCTTTTTGTCTCCCGTGAATTTGTTGACTTTTGTGCTGGCAAGATACCATTATAGCTAAGAAAGTTTAAGCTTTAAACCCCAAAAAAGCAAGTAAATTGATTAAGCACATGATAGAGTATGAAAGAGCCCCCCTCAGAAACCCTCAACTTGACTCCAGCTGCTAGGCAAAGCAGCCCTTTCAATGGAAAAGAACAATTAAACATTTTCCGTCAATTCAGCTCTGTGTGCCCTGTTCATTCGCAGCTTGCGTAATGCACACAATCACATCTCAGTGCCTCACCACGTGACCTTTGTCCTGGTGTTGCCTTGGTGGTCCTGGCCCAGACACTGGTATGCTGGCCACCTGTGAAGATGCTGGTCATCTCTCTGGTCTCAGAAGGCCCTTGAATGTTTGGATGGTTCTAATCCACAATGGGTTACCAGAATAAGAAGAGCAAAACTGTATACACTTAAGACCAACATTTCGGAAATTGGGCCTTCTTCTCTTAGTCTCAGTTATGTGTCAAATAAGGATTTCTGATGTTGTAATCATGTATTATGAAGACTAGGGAAGATCTTATATGTATTAAACTGTTCTGGAATTCTTTAGAGTTTATTTTCATTTGTGATGGGGACTATTCTTTAGGAAATCTACAGAAAATACAATTTACACATTTCAGATACAAACTCAGAAAAAAGTAGATTGTATTTATTAAAAAAAATCCTAACAGTGTTCAGTTATGAACATGACAAACAACTCTTAAATTAGTTTTAAGAAAATTTTTGAGGGGCCGGCCTTGTAACACACCAGGTGACGAACTGCTAGCACCTGTGACAGCTGACCTTCCATATAGGAGCCAGTTTGTTTCCCAGCTGCTCTATTTCTAATTCAACTTCTTGCTAATGCTCCTGAAAAGCGATGAACAATGT